ATTCGCAGTTGTATTATACCCAGGCCCAAATTGTTGGTGCATTTTTTCGCTAGGAAAATAATTCGATTTACGGTGATCTATCTCACTTTAACGAAACCAATATTTCACGACGACGAAAAAACGATTGACAATTAATTACAGCACAACACACAACGACAATAACAATAATAATAGAATTTCTTACAATCTAAACAATTTCAGTGAATCGCACAGACGCAAACAGTACCAAGAGATCACGCGATGATATCATTTATTTGTAAAGAAAAAATAAAAAAAGCTCTTTACTTCTACTTTTATATATTTAAATATTGTATTTAAATATATTTACTCCTTGCAATGCTCTTTAATGAATTCTTTACAAATGTTGGTTGCCGCTAGGTTGGAAGAACTCTAGAAAATAAAAATATCAGACAGAGCTTTTGGCAGTGGAAGCTTGATGTTATAAAAAATATGTGTGGGCCCTGCAAAATATAAATATTCCCCAAAGGTCCTTAGGGGACGCCCTTGGTACTGTTATGGTTCTTCCAAAAATGTAATACCTTTAATGAGAGCAATTTACCAGTCTTAATTCTACACTGAATTTACTTGCTCACTACTACACTATTGTTTAGTGTTGCACTTAAAAGGTGAATCTTTTGTAGTGGCTTATGATTTATGCAATTACCTTTTGTTTACCAATTAGATACTATAGCATGTACTGAATTACCAAGGTTATTGAGAACTAAAAAGTGAGTAACAATTTGATTTATTGAGCAGTATTAAAGAATTACAATGACTTCGTTTGACAATTTCTGATTGTGTTGTGTAATATAAAATATGACCTTGAGTGACACAATCAGACTGAATTGATTTGTTTGAAAACGTTGAACGGATTTATCAAAGGGGAATATTTGGCGCGGTTTCACACCGATCTCGAAGGTGTCAACGGGAGAGTGGTATTTAATTTAATTTGAGATGACCAGTGCCAAGCAAGTCCTGTTCGTTGGCCAACGATGTAAATATGAAGGTCGATTCTCGAAGGTCAACTGATTAAACAGTATTGCGTTTAATCGTAGTATTTATTGGAACGTCGATTACTGTTTTATAGCTAATTTGGCACTTTGGCGGTTCATCTATATGCAAGCTGACACAATCCTCCGACAACACTTCCGGATTCAGCCGAACCAGCTACCTAATCCCTCCTTTGATATTAATTTGATTCCCCAGCTTTAAATACTGATTGTGACACTCTTTAACGAACTGTACCTTTAATAATGACTCTGTGCAAAATTCCAATACTATATCAAAATATTACAAAGCAACTCTGAATTACCCTATAAAAACACTTTCATCTATTTATTTTTAATGCTATTTGATTATCACAGTCTAATAACTAAAGCGGATTGCTACAATATGAATGGATATAAAAATCAGCGAATTGAGATTGAACCTGTGAACATGTGCTTATTCTACATGAACTAACAAAACAAGACAGGAAAATTTACAAAGTATGCGACTCACTGAAATTTAAATATATAACAAATAAATAACACAAATTACTTACAGTTTGGACGTCCACAAATATAACACAAACAAAGGGGAAGGGATTGGGAAATGTAACTAGCCGGTATTCTACAAGACGCGATCAATTGAACTAGTGAAACGTTTGAGAAATTTTCAAATGGCGGACTGCGTTTGGCCGGTAATGAACTTTTGCACTTTTTGACAACGACACTGATTCTAATTTCCGATCGCGAGGCAAATATATCCCTTCGGGATATAGGCTGAACGACTTTAAGGAAATTTGAGATTGCCCGACCAAACGCCGCGAAATGAATTTAATTTTCACAAACGAAAGTGTTACCTACCGAACTAGTTACGTTGAGATTTGGAGAGGGACTGATACTACTGGAAACAAGTGACCGTCCGACTAGACCTTATCCCCTCCACTTCTTTAGTGCGTGGTGCATTCTGGTCTATACTGATCTATTGTTCAAAACAGCTGACTGTTCTTCGCGTTAACTTGTATTGATTTGTTGCCTTTTACAACAAAATCGGTACAAATTTAACATATTTTAGAATTTGAGGTTAACCAACAGTGAAAATTATTTTCCCATATCCATGTTCAATAGTATTTTCAATACAAATTTTAATTTCAGATTTAACTTTCCTAGATTATAATGGATAATAATATTTTGTACTTACAATGTCTACGAGATTTGCCTGCCATGAAATACAGAATTATGAATGAAATCAAACTTTGTGAGGGAAATGAAAAAAAAACAATGTTACCACTACAAACAATTAAAATAAACCAAATTATGCCTCTTACACACTATAACTAAATTTGCTGGATTTTTTTTTTAACAAACAATACAAGAATCAGTATAGCCTACATGGGTTGGAAGCCTGTGCGTAGGCTCAGTCGCTATCAGTGACTTACGTATTTGTTGGAAAACAATAATATTCATAAATATTCAGAAAATCTTAAAAACAAATAATTTAATATAATTGTAAAACAATTCTGAGGCTAAATTAGTGAAATGAGCAATTTGAGGAATGAGGCAAGGCATAAAATTCATATATTTAACAGACATAAATATAGTTAAGAATGTTCGATATTAGTAATTCAGTATAGCGAACGAACTTCAACCTGAAGGTGAGTTAGCGTAGCGAACGAGCTAACCTGAAGGCAAGTGAGCGCAGCAAACGAGCTCCAACCTAAACGTGAGTGAGCGTAGCGAACGAACTTCAACCAGGACGTGATTGAGCCATACGAACGAGCTCATCTCGAAAATGAACGAGCATTTGACATAAAACCACATTAGGACAGGACGACGTCTGCCGGGCCAGCTAGTAGTTGATATAAGTTAAAGAATACAACTATTCTATGGATGTGATCATATATTTAATTTATTTGCAGAAGATAAATATCAATACCGGTACCGGGCTGCCACCCATGAATGAAACTGTTAGGGACAACAAACAACCGTTGTTTACAAAACCGTTTGTTTCTCCAATGCTAGGAACATTATGAATGAATGTAACAAAAATAAGTTAGGTGTATGGCAGAGATTGAAGAAATTGTTATTGTTTCACAACATGTAATACGACCTTTGTACTATATTTAAGCGCGATTTTGGGCAGTAAAACATATTCTTAGAAGTACTGTTTAGTATTATCATTGACTATACACAGAAATAGACTTCCCATGTGCATTATTAACCGAACCCTTTTCTCTTACGTGTGATGATATGAATTTTAACACATATACAGAATAACAATGGCACTCAAAACACTTTTTTACTAATCGTGCCTTTGCAACATTATACAAATACTCATATTGTAAAAGGAACACACCTAACAATTTGATTTGTAAGTTTATTATTCAATTTTTGTTATTGCCTTTACGTTAAATACTTCCTAGGTTTAATATTTATGACCTTTATCAATTACTTGCTCTGAAACTTAATATTTGAAATTTCTCATTAATTACCAAACAAAGCAGATAGTAAACGATACCTTGTTACAACTAAACAAAGGGGAATTACCAGTCCCTGTTCCTGTATATATAGATACATTTTATATTTTTATTTACGGTAACATTGTATGTATGTAAATAGTTTACCTAGAAGGTACAGATACAGTATTTAGTTATGTGTTACCTGTAATAAAAATGTATTTAATATAACTATTGGTTGTACTCAAAACGTTTCTGGGAGTACCGTAAACGAAAAGATCAGCGGAACCAGGGAGAACGGCCCGTGATGCGATTTATAAAGAACCTCTTTGCGTTACTAATTACTCCATTACACACGACTAGAAAATTTTATTTGAAATTGCTCGGTTATATGCTGAAGATCATCTCATTAGCTACAATTTTGTCGCTTGAAGTTTGCTTCTGACCAAAAAATAAAAAAAATCCTCGCTTAGTAATTTTTTCATGTCAAGGTGTGATATTTGTTTAACATTTTTAGTTTTTGAAATTCTAATTACAATTTAAATAAGATTAGGTATATTAATACTGTCAGATTCTGCAGTTAATGCAGATTCTGAATGTATAACTTTAATTGCAGTCAACCAATTGTATGCACGGCCAGGAGCATATTAACAACCGCGTGCATGGCTTGAGGAACTGACATATCTGCGTTGGGTCCCACATAGTGGTGGGGGAAGGTTGCTAAAACGGCGCGCTTTCTATCCCACATCTCCTCTCTACCCAGTGTTCCAGTTGTGTTGTATACTTCGATGGTTAAGGTGCCTCAGTTTGTGTTGTACAGATCTCCATTACATGAAGCCCTTTGAATAGTGTGCAGTAATGTGTTGTTTAACAGTGCAGATAGGTAGTAAACAGAATGTTCCTATAATTATAATATAGGTGGATTATAGTATATTTCATCACTAGGGCCAAATGACTCTTTTTGACCTGAGATCAAGTTTTGTCAAGGTCAGAAAATGAGCGAGGGTTGAAAAGACACTTTTGCCCTTGTGATGATTTATATTTTTCATCATATTACACCATTATTTGAACAAGCTATGTAACAAAATTAAATAGTTTTCAGATAACCTCTCAAAACTACTTCTAACTTGTTTTTAATTTAATTTACCAATGGAAACAAGCAGCTGTTTAGTAAGTGATTCAATAGTTTCGTCTATCACGATTGTGTTAGTGTACACTATACTATCGATATGTCAAACTATTTACAATAAGGCAACAATTAACTACAATACTACAATCAATTAAACATTTTTCAAAAACTTGTTTGCTATCTTTTAACTTAATCAGACCATTTCAGGATTTGTGATTATAAACTCAACTAAACTTAGCTAATCTATAATCTTAAATAAACTAACTTTTATTGTAAACTTGATATAAGGTCCAAACAGTAGTTTTAGTGTGCTCAATAGATATTTTAAATTTCATCTATTAAGTTTACACATTTTATTTTTGTAAGGTTAGTGGTTTGCTGCATAGAAAACTATTTTTACATTGAAAATAAAGTAAAATAAATTCTTTTTAGAGAAAATATGAACAAATGCGAAAGTCACAAGAGTGTTTTAAGGAGTGGCTTCACAAGAAGAGAAAACAACAACAGGAACAGTTCAGGAACAGTGTCAGAGGTCCAATGAAGTAAGTGCTAGAAATTGTCTTGTTCTGGCTGTCATTGGTAAAATATTGATTACCAATATATACTTACTAAACAAGACACCTCAGCAATCAATGTTTTTAATACTTAACTACCACAAGTATACACATATTTCTTCAGAAATAAATACAGTTTGCCTCCTATGCCTCTAGCCCAACTCTCCCTGGTACCAGTTACTAATGGATTTTACCTTCTGATTGGCCCTTGGCCCTTGTACTTAACAAACTGGATGAATTGAATAAATTTTGCACAGAGAAAAAATCACAGACATATGATTTTGGATAACTTGTCATGTTATTTTCAACACAATCATAAAAACTAGTGCACCTGTTGCTCGAAATCAAGCAATTGCAAAGTATTGCAGGTGTTATATCAAAATGAATAACAGTCATAATATCCGATGATTTAAAAAAGTCATTAAAGATAATGTAATCTATCACTCCAGTTATCGAAACTAAAAACGAACTCACTCTGAAAACGAACGCTCTTGTGTGTATCATGTGTTTACTATGAACAGAAGTTTTACCATGCAATTATCAAATCATTCGCCTGTTTTAAGTAAACCAAATATTTTTTTCATAAGGATATAAAACATAATACATTTCGATTTTGATGACCTGTGGGGCAAAGCCCGAGGACTTTTATTACAGGAATTGGTGGAAGGGGGCGCAAAAAACACATATTACACAAAAAATACTTAATTTTGACACATCGTTTGTAAAAATCCATCCAGTATTAACGGAGGAGTAGTGTTTCGTAGAAATCACCTTCACGTATTATATATAAGGGTGCTTAATTTTGAAAGTAGGTCAAAGTGTTCAATTAAAATCACAATGTGTTGAAATACTGCAATGCTCTTGTTTGTGAGTGTGAACAGGAGGTAGTTGCTTCTTTCATTGGCTTCTTGCTGATTAACAGCCCCACTTTCACTGCAAATCGATTTGAACGTAACTTTGTTGTGTTATTTGAAGCTGTCTAGCCACTCTGTACTCACCTAAAAAAATAGTTTTTTTTTCAGAAGTAAATTGTTCTGCTTTGCTCCTTACAGGGGCCACTCTCAGGAATCTTCTTATCCTTTGTTTGTTTGAACCATTTCAAAATGCAACTGTCCAATAAAGGGTTTTACGGTGAGCAAACGATTAGTATTGTGAGTGTGAGTGAGTGATTCATGTCCAAGTAGCTGTCAAAACATAACAGATAATACAGAGAGAGTAAACTTTTTGTTTCCTGTTGAGCTCCTATTATATGTTTGAACTTTCCCCCTAAAACTTTAAATACAAAACCAAATTGCAGAAAATCTATGTTGGGGATTGTGTTCCTGTTCCAGCTGTCTGGTTTTTAAAACATTGATGGTAGAATATGGGTATTTACTCAAGGGAGGTATAGAATAGCCTTCAATGACGTCAGCTGTCAAATCTCTTCTCTTGAGGGAACACCATTACCGAAGCGATACGGTATGGAGCCATCGGCCTTGGTGGTGTAGTGGAAGCGTTCCTGACCGATGAACTGAAGGTAGCCGGATTGAATCCCACCGAGCATTAACTTTTTGTCAACGATTTAGCTTTAGAATGTGATTACTTCTTAACTGCAGTACATCTTTTGTTAGAATTTTAGGCATTTATAACTTTAGTTTATATGAACAGAACTATTTTTTCGATTAGTAAACCTTCATTAGATTTTTTCATTATCAGCAAGTTTGGTTAGGTTATGACAGTTTAATTTTATAATTAAAAAATTATAAGATTAATTTTATAATTTTTCTTAATTTTATAATTTAGTATGACGTCATGGATCAGAAGCCTCCAAATGACACTGTTGGCAAAACTAATAGTAAAATAAAAATTACCCGCTGTGCTCTCTACTACAGCGCTGTTCACGGAGGAATTTGTAACTAAACTATTCTGTCATCGTTGCCTCATTTATACTTTTAAGTAAGTAAGTCAGACCCTAGAATATGGCAGTCATCTTCAAAAGTCGTGTGCATTCAACCACCTGGTAGCCATACATAAATTTTTAAATTTAATAATAATAAAGTGTATAGTAAAACATATAATAGACCTCATATAACCCGATTCCCATTAGGTGAAGAAATATAAAAATTTTTAATTAAGGAGTCAGTTTTTTTTAAGACAACAAACAAATTAAGAACTTACACCTAACTGTCTCTCTTTATACTTTTACTTGAAATTACCACACAAAGGTAAGTATTTTAAGCCATTTGTGAATGGAGATGAATGTAGGATGGATCGTATAAAATGATAATACTATCTTATAACTAGGTGAAACCCGTTGAAATCGACGGTTACTTTCAAGGCTTACGCTAATTCATCTAACTGCGATAAATTGATTGAAATTATACATATTTTGAGCATTTAGCATTGTTTAAAGAGTAATAAATGTAAAAACAATAATGATATTAATTGCGTTAGTTTCCAAATATGGTTGATAATTCAATGAATGAAATATTTCCCATACCATACGTCATCGGAGTTATTATTAGTATGTTATATGGTATCTCTTCCTTTGGAAGAACCTTTAAATAATATTAAAATCGTATTGGTGGATCTTTTTTAGTTAAACACTTCCGTGATTTCATCAGTGTAATGCAGATTAATGTATGATTTTATTTGGAAAAAAACTGTTTGTTGGGAAGACACGTTCTAACTTCAAAGGGAGGTTAATCCGTTACAGTGTAAGTTTGATTTTTCCTTCCTCACGTCGCGTCAGTTCATATCGTACTTCAGTGCCAATGAAAAACCCTCAAGCACAGTTTTGAGAAATTGGTTGTCGGGTTACTGTTAAAGCTGGAATTCATTGACATGGGGGATGTCAGTTAGTTGTCTCAGCCTTATCAATTACATAAAGTTGTCAATATAATCTCTCTACGGAATGTTAGGTGTAGTGGAATATACTTGAAGTGAAGTTGGCTTTTATTCTTGAACTGTTAGGGGCCTCCTCATTTATATGGGCGTGCGGTTTCATTGGCCACAAATAATGCAAATGACGTAGCAATGAGGCATTTCCAAAAAGCAAAAATAATGTAAATTGGTCACGTAAATATTGACGTTTACATGCATTGTTAATCAACGTATCTTATAAAGAATGATGTGATCTAGTTTAAAAGGAATATGACCTTTCTGTCATGACAGTAGCTGCTTAAATATTATTTACTCATTGGGCCATTTTTTACAGCCAAAATTTCGTGTTATTTTCAATAATGTTACCAACCCAGTGGGCCATGGTCCGTAATATAGGCCACTGTAAATAGTTTGTCAAGATAGGTACCATTTTAGGCAAGGTTTCTGTGTTTGGATGTTATTAGACACGGTAAGAGCACAATAAAATTATTCTGCAGATTAATTTTCTGTTGGAGAAATATAAGCCGAATTATAAATATCACAATGCGAGTTTGAGCATTTTGTTACTACATGGGTAAGTTAAATAGATTTTTTTAGGCTGCTGCTCAGCGCACTTTAAGAATGTATATTTTAGAGATAAATTAAATGGTTTTTGTTTTTGAGTAGCACTAGTAAACATGCACAACCCTTTTCGTTAGTCTAATAACATTCAAAGGCTCTCTAAGAGTTCAAGTTCTTATTTGTATACATTTCTATATTATGTTTTCACTAAGCTGAATGAATACATCAAAGTAACCTCTCTAAAAAGTCTGCAGTATATTGTAGTTTTCCAGCTTAATGACTTTCTAATTCCTACACATATTTCTACATAAATATTGTAAAATGTGTTATCCAGTTGCTGTAAACTACCATTAATTTAACAAACTATGGACACGGCTCAAATGGGCACCGTGCCCTTCTGCACTTGTATTATTTTGTATTGTATTACACAATCGAAGATTTTCCCATTGATTGAAAAAATTGTATGACAATAATCTCATGAACCTATTATGATCCGTCTAGAATGATAAAAATATAGGGAAATGTGTGAAAAAGGCAGATACCAACCCGTAAAATAGATATAAGATAGTTCAATAAGCAATAATAATAATTGTAAGAGTTACTGTGATAAAAGGATTTTCCACTTAACAGCTGTTTCATTTAAAAGTATTATCCACATGGCCAAAATGTAAACAAAGCTGTCGAGGGATCTTTAAAGGCTTCTGGGGCAGAGCCCTAAGCGAATTTCCTTCATTTTTCTTTTGATAACTCATCTACAGACCAAGACCTTTCTTTGGATACCTCTATCAAGTTTTTACGCCCAGCCGTTCTCTCAAATTAGTGGAGACAAAGTTTCCAATTAAATATTTAGATTCCCCCATGTTAATCTTATGGGAGAAAACCCAACTTTGATGGAAGATCCTGCCCGAACTAATAAAGATATCAAAAAACGAAAAACACTTTGCAAAACTACAGATCAGGGCCATTGTTTTGACATTTTAATCATCAAAATCGGTCAAAAAATGAGGGAGGAGTTCTGTTTACAAAAATCGGCTTAGCGTACTATATATATAGATCCTTATAATATGATCCAATTGACAACATAAGTGGAATAGGATGTTGAAACAAGTTTTGGGAGCAACATTGAAATGTTAAGGGTCGTACAAAAAGAACTCACGGATTTTATTTGAATTGTTGGAATGGAGTAGGTATATGGGGTGGGATCTGTTGTTTTGTAGGTTAGAGCTTAGCAATGGTACTGTTTGTCATGCAGCGTTTTAGCTGAACATTTAAAAAATGAATCTGTTAGTGTTATCTCAGTTATAAATTATAGATAATTATTATCTTCTCCAAACACAGTTCAAACTTCTGCAAAATTGTTTGGTTCCTGTTTGCATACAACAATTTGTGCAAAACCCAGAAAATGATCTGAACGTTGCAATACACGAAGAAATCACTGTTGTTCCAAATTACAGTTTAAAGAAATAATCTATAACTCTTCAAAGAAAAATGTATGTTTATAATTGAAGCAGAGGCCATCATCTGCTGTCTGAAACTATATCTTTAACCGTAAAGTTAGGTACGATTCATTAACTTTTTGCAGAGCATATATTGTATTAATGTGAGTACATTGTATTTGTGGCCAAAATAAGGGTAGACTAATTGTAATACAGTATATATGGAGTACTATTATAAGGGGTGAAAACTTATCAGGGCAGTGCCACCAAGTGGTATTTCAGAAATTACTAGCTGTGTGCCCGTCGTTCTACGCACGGGGATCTTATTGTAGTCAGTTGAAACCTTCTTATTAAGAACAGAAGTTGGTTTGCATATTTTCAGATATGCTGGTAAAACTATTATATATAAACCTTCGCAAATACAGTATCTGACAGTTTCAAGCCAAAACAAATGCTTCAAAATTAAATGTAACCTGGGTCGTGTTGGTCCATATGTTAAATCCAATGATTAAACTAAAAAATGCTTTATAGATCTATGAGGCATAGCCCTAATGTAGGCCTATAATTGAAAGTTACCTTCCACAATGGTTAAAAGTATTTAATGTACTACCTCAACCTCACAATTTAACACTTTATTCGGGTTGACATTTTCATTATAAAGATGCTTTTGTCCTTTCCGTGAAACACTGAGAAATAAGGACATTAATGCGTTACCAACAGACATACACACAAAAATACGGAACTTAATTAGGGAATTTGCTACGCTTTAAGCATAACAAAGTACTTATAAAATTAGTATCTCAAATCTTTGTTAATGTCATCAAATTTCATCATGACAATTTATATTTGCTTGGACCGATGATGACCCGAAATGACGGCTTACTATATGAAATGAAGTACTATAGACGAATTAGATTGGTAATTTATAATAAAAATTACCAAAATAGGCCACGAACTATTGATACATAAACAACGTAAAGCGTTTAAACAATTCATGATGGTTCGCTGAATAAATGTTTTACTAAAATGCGTTATCTTTTTCTTAGCATAAACAAACATTTTGGATTCAAGAAAGAAAAAGCAAATATTGTACAGTTAAGACATCAATTAAATTGAATACGCCTGTAATAATAAATAAGGTGCAACACCAACGATAACTAATTTGTAAAGTACAGTGATGTGTTGGTACTTAAAAATCTTGCTGCTACCAACAGTACCAACGGTTCTAAGGAATAGAACCGGTACCAAAAACCAACGTTCACAGTTGAGAACTATAGTACAGCTGACCAATTATATGAGTTAATCAAGTCCCGAGGTTATTGATCTCTTGGTTTTGGATTTTCTCGTAAAATGTTTTAAAACGTCAATCAAAGTTATTTCCCATTAATTGCTTTATTTGTAAACTACTTTTAATGTAAACTTATCGGTGTCAGTTTGAAAAAAAAAACTTTTTGTTATTTAATAGATTACGTATTCTCTAAACAATGATTGGTATAGGCTATCTATTAACATTAGAAGGAAATGTGACAAAATCACACAACGTTGGGTTTTTGGACGTTTGTAATTTTATTTCTTAAGTAGGTAGGCCGTGTATTCTAGGGAAAAGTACCGGTATCAAGGATCGTCGTCGAAAAGGTTGTTATGAATAATTGGGTAGGCGTACGTACCCAAGAGATGGGCTATGGGCCTATTGGCTGTATGGTCCAGCGATTGCATCACACGGTGAGTAAGTACTATTCACTATATATATATAGTCAATCGTAAGAACAGAAAATAACACATTAGAAAAGCGAGTTTAGCATCATCCGTAAACCTCTGTTACAATCACCCACTGCAGTTGTGATTTTTTACTTTACACTTTACACAACCGCCATTGAAGTGCCGTCAATGAGTGGAAACCATGTTTCTAAGCTATTGGCGACGATCATTATTAAATTTAAGTTTCCCAGCCGTATACAACACTGATTCAAGGTCTTCTTTCTGGTTATCAAAACTCAAGAACAATTTATACACAAAGAATCTCTGGTTCCTGAACTGGATGATGCCTAGTTATTTAATTTCATTTACGGTTACACTATTATACTATATTATTGCACTTTCGATTGATTAAATCCGTTATGTAAGAAAAACGTTTTTAATCTCACTTGGTTGGGATTTGCATTCAAAACGTGATTGAAAAAGGTTGCGGTATTTGTAAACAACATTTGTAAACATATCAGTGACAGCTAGGAAAAATAATCTTGATCCGAACAGCTGTTCGTTATTTCATAGATGATTATGCAATAAAAATTGGACAAAACTTGACATAAATCGCACAAAACTACATTTTTGAACGTTCGTAATATTATTTACAAAGTAATGAGGCCATATTTTAATGGCTAAAAAGACAATCTCGCCAATCCAGTGAATACATTAAAATTACTTGGATCTTGATAGGTACTCTCGTTTTCCAGGAGAAGATAGCGTAAAATGCCATCTTGAGTGTTACAGACAGAGGGAAAGACAGACAGACAGACAGAAATTGAGATAAGACTCGTTTCTGCTTATTTAATGTATAAGACGTAAAAATAACCTAAAAATATATAATTCCGAGCAATGTACAGACAAAACTCTAATTTTATTTATATAGAAGATTAGATTTAGAGAAAAGTTTAATAAGGAACATAGTTTTTTGTGAAAATAAAAAATGGATTCCATTTTTTTTATTGCCACTATCTCCCAATATTCTTGAACCACCCTACATTTTATGGATGTTTTTAGAACTTAAATGAAATTTTTCAAACTATTTTCTAATCACAATTTGTTCTTCAAACTTTCTCATTAAGATCGTACAGCATGTTAAACATTGGAAGAGTGCAGCATATCGCATGTCAATCATGCAATTATGACATGGTGAGTCACCTTTTCAAAATTGTAAAAATAACATTTTCCCTCAAAGATTGGACATTTTCAAAGATTACTACTAAAATGCAGTATACTTGGTTTATGTTTAAATTAATATGACTCAATGAAAACATATATTTTATTGCAGGCCCACATATCCTTGTAATCCAGGAACCTCACAAAATGCTCAAACCGCCTATGAATCATGGAAGAAAGAAAAGGAAAAACTGCTCAAGAAACAACAAGAAGAATCAAGGTTACATAAAAAAATGGTGGAAGAAAAAAATAACAAAGAGGATTCAGAAAAAGTATGGAAAGAATACAAACACATTTATGAATTTGATTAATGTGATGTTCAAAACTGTTTGGAACTTGATTTACTTTATAATGTAATGGTAAATTGTTTAGTAGCAGTTAAGCTTATTTAAATACATATTTGCATTGTTTGTCATCTCTACTTTATTCAATCAACTGTTTTATTGAAATTGTTGTCACATCCAGAGGTGCCCATCCCCCCTAAACCCAGAGGCGCAATCCCCCCCCCCCCAAGCCAAAGGAGTAGTCCCCCCAATTTATGTTGTAGTCTATTTAAACCTACCCTCCCCCCACCAATTTATCAGACAATTTTCCCTTTACCTCATAAAACGAGTATTTAAAGTATTTTAGTAAGAGGTACAAAAAACAAACTTGCTGATTGAGAATCAAAATTAAATGTTTAATAGGAAACGTCATTTAACAATACATATCTAACTAATGGTTGAATTAAAAGTTTTTCAATTTACAAAATTCCGAATTTGTATTGTCAGCCAACATGTGCTCAGTATTGCTATAGACAACGTCTTCAACACGTTCACGTTCAACAGTATACTAGGTGAATTACTACTCCAAGCCAACACAGTACTGTAACTGTAAAATATTTTAAGTGGCGTTAATGTTTAGAGGGCTTAATAATTCAAACAGCTTTAAGTGTATTAATAATACTTTGGCAAAAAGTATCTTAATTGTTTCAAAATTATAGGCAGAGTCACGAAATAAGCCAGACTTGTTGCTCGCCACTTCCAGGCACCTTCTACAAAAATCGCCGGGCAAAATACCGATTACGTGCTCGTTCAGCGCGTGCTCGTACAGCGCACCAAAAAATGGCGGAATATCGTGCTCGTACAGCGCAGTCTACTTGGAACGCCCGTCTGTCTATCTGTCTGTCTACCTGCTCTGTATTTCAAGGAACTAGCACGAGCTTTGGGCTTTTTCTAATTTGTGAATGGCCGTATAAGTCCTGATTAAAACAACCGCCACCAAAATCGTAGTTTGAGGATCCAGATTTGAACTTTATGTTCAAGGCCGCTTGTGAGAGTCAATAAATTGAAGCTATGTCTTTATTACTTTTAAAATATTTAACTGGCCAAAGACTTTTTCCACCATGTATGTACAGTACATATATAATATAGAGTGAGAGAGAATGAGTGACCGGATATAACATGTCATATTAACTCCCGTGATCTTTGTAACTTAATTGTTAAGACATAATTGTAATTAATTATGATTAATAATTAATAATTGTAATTAAGACATGATCTAGGGGTTGCATTTGGAAGGGTCAGTGGTCTTTCTTGGAAATTAGACGGGTGAATGGTTGGTCCTTCCTGGAATTAGGGACACCAAGATAACTGCGCTGTACGAGCACTGCGCTGTACGAGCACGCGCTGAAACAGCACGACACCAAAATACCATGCCACCAGAACAAAAGGTTTTTGTGACGAAGTAATCTTATAATTCATTTTTATAGCCCCAGGATTGCCTTTTATGACTATTATTGGTAGAAACGCATCTTGTCAGACAATCCGTTTGTACACAAAACGCGAAACGATAACAGATAGGCCTATCAATTCACGCGTGTATAATGCCGCGGGCAGGACTGGAAGTAAACTGAATCAGGTTATGATGGAAAGACGTGGTCTCTGGATTGTCATCTGCGTTATCAAAAGCTGATATTGGACTAATTATTGTAGTGACGGAGGAAAGTATGTTGAAAATATAATGGGATTCACAATTGAGTGTTCCATTCAAAACTATTGACAATAATAACCAATTTATATGCTGGATATAAATGATGGTCTCGAAATTTTACAGTACTGCACGAAAGGAAATTTATTAAATACTTTGAGGAGTTTGAAATATATGAATACATAAAATTGAGGACAGCACAACATTTTTGAGTGAAAACACTCAATTAATTATGAAACCCATTATATTTTCAATACTCTTCTCAGTCACTACAATAGTCCAATATCAGCTGTTGAAAACGCAGACGACAATCCAGAGACCACGTCGGTCCGCCATAACCTGAACCCGATTCAGTTTACTTCCAGTCCTGCCGACGACAATGTACACGCGTGAATTGATAGGCCTCTGTAATCGTTTCGTGTTTTATGTTAAATGTTTGTAACGTATTCTGACGACACCTCCAGAAGGGGATCTTTTGTAAATCCTGACTATGGTGGAGTTAAAGAACCAACAAAACATATGTAGCATGTAAAATTCGACACTGGCATGTTAAGGATTGTCTGACAAGGTGCTTTACCATTCTTAGAAGCAATCTTAATTACGAACGGCAAAATGTTGTTGGTGTTGATAGTGAGCTACTTTTAGTGAGAAACACTTTTTCGGACTGCTTGTACAAAATTATATAGCCATTATGACAGCTAGCAAAAAATAAATATCCCCCCCAAAATCCCTTAAAAAAGCCCCCCCCCAAAAATTCCTGTGGCGCAAACGCGCCACAGTACCCCCCCTCTGGGCACCCCTGGTCACATCAAACCTTCAAAAGATAATCTTATACATTAAAACGTAACAGGGTTTTTTTATTTCACGATTCTGAATCAACCACTTGACGGATTTTCATCATTTTTGCGCTGAAAGAAAGATAATTTTGGGAACTAGGGAATATCGAAGCCATAATTTTAGTTTAGGGTTTCAGTTTTTTTTTTTGAATTAAGTTTTAAATTTTAAAAAGTCTAGCAGCCGACGCTAACATTCTACTCGAGCTTTTTTTTTTTATAATACAATTTGCTTAACGTAACAGCTGTAAACATTCAGCGTTTTCGACACAAATTCAGAATTGGGATGTAAATGAAATTACATACTTAGGGTTGACTTTGATACAAATAAAAAGAACATACTATGTGTAATGCTTTAATAATTGATACGTTTATTTATTCGGTAAGAGGATGAGAGATAATTTTAAATATACATAGTAAAATTAAAATAATAGATGTTCTAATTTATTTTTTCAACAGTCTATAAAATCTTTAGTTTGTTTCAGTGCAATGTAATTTGTTATAACTAACAGCAGTTGAATATAAAAATATTCTTAAGAACTATGAGGTTAGTTATCTACTCTGTGATTTTGTCATTGATTATAGAAATTAAGTAAGATTCTATAACCATTGCTTTATATGAATCGGAGCTCACGTGACTTCAAAAGAAAGCTTATGACAATTGTTTTACTACCCGAATTTTTGAGGACAGGTTGGGAAAGTAACAACGACCACAAGTTTTAATTAATCTTGGTAGCTTTTTCTTTACAATAAACTTTGAACTGCTTAAACTAAGCTTGAATTAGGAATAGACATATTGATATAACAACTATATACAGTTTTAATGGACTGCTCGATTCCCTTACGCAGGACGGGCCAAATGCTCGTAAGATCTTAATATGTATTAAATTAAATAAATAAAATAGAAATACACAGAGGTGACTTACCTCTAACATTATAAATTATATGTTTAATGAGTACGTACGTTTGCTGCTACATGGAGGGTAATGAAGTTTTTTTTTTTGTAAAATATTAGTAGCTTAGTATAAATAGAGACATCTTCCCAGTTTTATCAAAATATATGCATAAACAAGCAAGCTACAACAGTTTACTTACTCTCAATATGAATAACATGGGAATTTAAAGTTTACAGCTTTTTAATTTTCTCTGTAACCAATAACCGTACAATAACACTTCAATATACTAAACCATTTTATATCCTGGGGAACAAATCAATGCTTCAGAAAACACTAAATTTCTGGGTTTGTATATAAATGAACATAATGGACAGAACTTAAAATTCAGGTAACTAAATTGTTAGCTAAAGCTTTGTATTTAACAAAGCATTTAGCTGCTTTAACAGTTTACCAATTCTATTTTATGTCCAGGGCTTGCTAAGACATTATTCCTTAGGGCATCTCCCTGATCATAGCAGTCCCCTATCCATAGAACTGTTATTTATGTGAAAGCTCATTTGTATAATATGGGTAGGAAACTATTCAACATTTAATAATACTTAAATACTTTTCAATGAAATGGCGACCATACAAAGTAGGTATTTTAAGCCAAGTGTGAATGGAGATGAGTGTAGGATGAGTGGCGCGATCTTATTCATTATTCATATTAAAGCCGACTTTTTCATAATTTTTGATCAAATTTGATAATAACTAATCACCTCCCTAACCAAATAAAGTTGACAGAAAAGATGGATATTTAAAAAAAACTACTCAGAGAACATTTGGAACTACTTTCTCCTTATTCAGTCGAAGAATTGTTTTTGTAACTAACAGCTTTGACTATTAATAACAGTGTCACTCTTTTATTTATTTTTAAACTTCTTATTTTTTTAAATTTTATTACTAATTACAATAAAATAAAATGTATTTAGTTGTAAAAAAAACTGACTTTTCATATGTTCACATGGATCACAATTATGTACATTCTGTGGGACGAATAAACATTTAGTTTCATTTTTTTGAAGCTCTTCACGAAATTGTTTTAAAAATATATTAAAAAATTTATGTTTTGAAGGTTGAAAATGGGAAAATGTTTACCCTATAAGACCCCCCCCCCCCAAATAAAACCCCGTTCCATGGTCCGATCATGCCGGTTCGCAAACTCATTCAAGATTATCCCACCCTACACCTTCAAGCCAAATTTAATCAAAAATCTGACAAAAATTACTCAAGTTATCACGTTTACTGACTTATTTTATCTATGACAAATTGAACCAATAGTCTTTTTGGCCTCTGGGGACATCATAATGAAAAAAGTAAATCGGCCCTGGGCCTAGATCTTACCATGCCACCAATGGTAATAGCTACTTCCCTATAACTTAGGGAAATTTTCTATAAATACAACTTACTGTCAATGCAAAATTTTGATTAAGAGCCCTTGATTAAAGGGGGAATAGAGAGTATCTTCCACTCCCATGATTGCTAAGACATCGTCATTGTCTCCTGTGACTGTGGAAATATATCTACGCCTAGGGTAGCCATATCCCCAAATTTCCCTGGATATTACCGGATTTTGACGTTCAAAATTTAGCTCCGGGGGATTTCTGCAAAAAGTGAGAAATCTCCTCTTTTTTACTCTCTATTAAAATACATTGTATAATAGCACTTTGGAATAAATTAAATTTTTTTAAATACTTACTTCGTACCGTTCGTGTGCTATGTGTTTTTTCGGTGTGTTAAATTGACGACCTTCACGTGAGGATAATGTTTTAACTTTTTGTGACCTTCACCTGAAGATGTGCTCCACGAGCACAAAACTGCAGTAGTGACAAACTACGCAAGGACCATATTGACAGAGGTAAATTAAACCATTATTAAATTTTTGTGTTCGCAATGTCATGCAATGACTGAAAACGCAATTCTCTATTAAAGTTTTTAATTTATTCCTTAGTTTCACTTTGGCTAGTAACTCCTTATTTTATTGTCTGTTTCATGCTCCCAGTCCTTTGCATCTGCCGGCCAGTCCGAAGTCCGAAGGTATCCGTGTTCACTACCAGAGCCAAACCGAGTCTAGCAGGCAGAGAGCTTTTTGTTTACGTTATTTGTTATTTTTAGTGAGATGTGACAAGCAAGATGCAAATTTTATGCTTTTGGGCTTTTTGCATACCATATTTTAATATTGAAATTGTAGCACGAATATTGAATAGAAACGGTATTGATTAATAAACACAAACAAATTACGTCACTAGCCCGAATGTCAATATAATAGCCATAACAACTGGTTTGGGTGTTTTCTAACAGTTCCACTTAAATATTAATAAAAACGTGTTTACCTTTGGGCCAGTGACATAATTTTTTATGTGTATGACCCATACCGTTTCTGTTATAATATTTATTTGTGCTATGTAGGTATACAATTTAGCTAGTCCGTAAATTTTTATC